CACCTACTAATGTCGTCGTCCTTATAGAGCGTCATTATTTAATCATTACCTCGTCAACTCATATTGCTCTTCATCAACAGTAAGTACAATAGGCTACCGCCATATTACAATCCCAGAATTGAAAAATTGAGTCGTTCATTCCTTCAACAGGTTTATTATTTATATAATGTTATTACGTGACATTACCTCGAAACGATCGACGTCTATCGCCGATCTTCAAATACTTATACCTGTATATAAATCAGGCGCACAAGGGGGGGGGGGGGGGGAGGAGAGGGGGAAGGGAGGGGGGGGGGGGGGATCGGTGGCTGAGTGCATGGTCTAGCGCACACCAGCTCGGAGCACTTGGAGCGAAAGCTCGCGCTGCAGAAGCCACCCCACCCCTGCCCGTTTCGATCTGGAAGAGCATCGTGCCGGCGTGCGGTCTTGTATCACTGCTGCGTGGTGCACGTTAAAGACCCCAGGTTTGCGGTTGTACCGCACTGGCTAAATTGCTCATCTACAGCTGAGAGGCCCACTAAGGCGGACTAATTTCCGGCTGTATAAACATACACACAACAATTTCCAATTAGACGCATACAACAAAAAGCACAGCGTGCCGCCTCTTTTCTTTGGATGCCTTTTTTTTAAACCAGCGCAAGTTCGCGCGTTCTCTCTTTTGAGACGGTTAGAACGGTCGCACATAAAAACCCGCGTTTCTCCTACTAGGCACTTCCTCCTCTCATTATGTGTAGTTGGTTATAACTAAATAAGGCTATAATAATGGTGTATTATTCATATTTACTTTCAGTTTCAGTCAGGGAAAAGGAGTTTCGCGGGAAGTAGAGCAAATAAATTAGCTGCGCTTAGAGTATCGGCACTCTCTTCTCCGACAGTGTTGTGAACGCCGCCATTCTGGTGCTTGTGCAGAGCAGGCGCAACTGCCGATCGTCATGATTCAAAAGTGCGACATCCTCAGCATTAGATTCGGTGTTAGGAAGCTCATGTAATGTTGCTTTGCTTTGTCGCACACCGTTTAAAGTGGAGGACGGAAAAGCGTTTCTTGTGATTTCAGATAAAGCTTCAAATAAGTGGCAACCATGATTTTAAGCCACAATATAGCCAAGTGTCGCTACTCTGGCGCGTAGCTTATTTAATAACACTATTCATGCCCTTGTTCAAGAAGCTTGTAATACCTGGAGGGGCCATGACGTAAGCCCCGTGGCTTCCACAAGCCACTACCTTTTGACACCTGCCCCTTCCTCATTGTTCCCGCTTGTGCCAGTAAATTAGCTACGGTTCAGAGTAACGACACTTGGCCATATTGTGGCTTAAAATCATGGTTGCCAGTTACCTGAAGCTTTATCTAAAATCACAGGAAACGCTTTTCCGTCCCCCATAAATGTTTAAACAACCCTAGACAGAGCATTCCAATATTGCATCAGCTTCCTAGCACCGCATCTAATGCTGAGGAAGTCGTACTTTTGGATCACGACGATCGGCAGTTGCGTTTGCTCTGAACAAGACTCAAAATGGCGGCGCCCAAAACAATTTTGGGGAACGGAGTGCCGATACTTTAAAGCTCATTTAGTGATTCTAGGCATGAAGTGAACTCGGGTGTATTATTTACCTCTTCGTCTTTATCGTTTATTGATTTCAATCATATCGAATAATGAACACATTATATCACGCTAGGCTTGTGTATTTATTTGTTTTAGATTTATTAACCCGACCCAGTACTTAAACCATTCATTTATCGATAGTAAATCTTCCAATATATTTTTTAAATGTGATGGTAAAAAGACACGGAGATTGATGATGATACAGATGCCAACGCCGCCCTCGGAAATTTTTTGAACACTAGAAATCAGCAGTTTGTCTGCCATCCGCCAGGTAGCGCAACAAAACACCCAAACAGTTTTTAATTGTTTTTAAAATTAGCTAAGCTCTACACCTATTAAGAAACCAAAGCAAGATCATTGTGAAACGTTAATACATCGCAATATATATCTATTCCAAACAATAAATGTTATTAGATGCCAATAAATCTGTTTGATGTCCAAAAAAGATATGCGTCAAAAACAGGTAAGTTTGAAGGGCTCCTGGAGCGTTATGACTTTGAAAATGAAAAAAAAAAAGCCATCGTCCACCTCTTGGGCAACCATCGTAGCTCTAAATATTATGAACGATTTTATCATAGTTTAATTATTTCCTCAGCGGCATTTGAAGTACCATGACTCGAAGCACAAAAAAGTGCTACGTTTGATATAAAATATCTAAACAAAAAAATTTTACACAACATTAAATTTTTTTCTGCATATTACCAATAATAAGCACTACGTCTGTGGCTAATTTCATTGCCCTAGCGCTTGTCATCAAAAACATATCTGTGCTGAAAAATGTCAATTTTAGGGCAATATTCGGGGGGGATGAAAAAAAACAAAGTAGTGAAAATACCAAAAAAGTGTATCGTTACATTCTGCTCAGAAATCATCTTAACAAAACTGCTTAATTGGAACCGTGGTATCTTTAATGGATCGTACATAAAACATGAACTAGCGGAGCAAGTCAGGGCCCGCGCCATCATATTCGCAACGCTACAAACGCGCATGAACAGTAAAAACCAACACATATATAATATCAAATGAAAGAGGGTTGCATTGCCTTTCGAAAGACATCAATCCCACAAAACAGTATTTAAAAGGAGATGAGCAATGACCTGCCAAAAAGTACCTAAACTGCCACATTCAGTGGGACCGTGGCCTTAAATATGAGGTTGTCTTTTTTATAATAAACCAATGCATCAACCCTAGCTACAGAAAATAAATAAAACTTCAACATAATAAAATATAATAAATAGAAAACAGAAATTGCTAAATACACCTGGAATTCATACATATCTCAGTGGATATTGTGGTCTCGGCCTTCCTAATTTTAATAAGCTATAAAAATTGCATAAATACATAGTTTGCATCTTAATAATAAACCCGATAAAATATGATAGCATTATGATTATTATTAATTTCTAACTTTCAAGAAAAGTTATGGATCACCCTGGTCGTCCTCCTCCAAGATTACCGAAGGACACAGACCAAGGAAGGCAGAAAATCAATATTTAAAGTTAGAGACTCTAAAACAGCGACAAATAAATAATGTATAATACATGCCCGAGTGAGCTTTTAGGTCCGTTTCAAATCACGTGGTTTTGATGCCCCCAGTTTTTCTTTATATTTGGCTTTATTAACAAATTTCCTTTTTGGTAATTGGAAAATATTTATTTATATTGACTCCCGCGAAAAATCGCTCCCGCGAAAAATACTCATCGCAACGAAAAAAGGCTTGTGGCGTTTTGGTCCTGGGCCAAGGGCCAATTTAGGAAAATTATTAAAGTCCAGGATAATTAAGATGCTAATTATTTTTCCGTAATTAATTTTTTTTAATATTGTGTTTAAGGGCATGGTTTAAATGAGAAAATTGCAGAGCATCGTCGAAAAACGCTAAATCAACAAATTGCAGAACGAAAGAAGGCCCGCGAAGCATTTTACGGCTACGACTGAGATACGTCAGTCGCACCCCAAGCATTTATTTATCGCTTCTCAACCGATGAGTGCGTCATTAACTGATAAGATTTCTGAATAACAAACCAGGAAGGTAAACGCGTAATCAATATTATCCACTCCCAGCATTCCCCCAACTGTCGGTGGCTATACTGGCGATCCCAAGTCGCAGTTTTTCCCAATAGTCGATTGTGCGGAAATAGTACCGCGCGTTATCCCTTTACTTATTCGTAACTGCAACACCCTGTGGATGGCGAGGCGGTAGTCGCAATATGAGGAAGATACAGGGATAGGATTCTCCAGGATTTCCCGTGCGTCTGTTCGCTGACGGTGGTCAGTGTGCTAAACTTAATTAACTGGTCTACAAATACGAATCGGCCAGGACTCGAGCCTAGCACAGGTGACACAGATGAGTAAACATGTTGGCCGAAACTCCGTTTTGTTGGGTCTAAAATGAGAGAAATTCGGACCTTGGTTGGTGGTCAGTACGTCTCTCGTTAAGAAAATTAACAGGTTGGTTTTTAATCAAAACCAGAAAGCGGAACAAAATATTTCACAATTCAACGCGCTCGGTTTTTTCGTTAAAACTGCCCGATGCACAAACACGCCTATCAGAACCATGCGGTAACAGCAGCACCAAGGCCGACAAATCCTGCCACCGCCTCTGCCGCCGCCCCCGTTCCTCTGGTTCTTCGCTCGTTCGTTTGTAAAGGACGGGGCGTGTTTAACGATCGGAGCTGACTTTATCACTAACGCAGCCTCAGTTTTAGCAGGCCGTGGAAGCCAGAGCTGCAGCGACGCAACCATCTTTGATGCAATGGCCATGAGACTTCTGGAGCATTCTTATAAGCGTTTTGCGAGTTTAGATATTTTTCAATCTGTTACCGATCCAGCCATTTTATTTAAGTCTTTCTGCTCTTTGGGGGTCGAAGACAAAAACCTCGTGTTTTCGAAATACCTATATGTTTATTCTATTTCAGCGCTCAGTGTTGTATGCATCAGCAAGACACGCTCGGCAACATTGTACGACAAACAGCGAACGTCCTGGCTGAAGAGTATTCTCCGCCTCACCTCGACGCGGCCGGTCCGGGGTTAAGCCGGGATCTCTTTTTGGAAAGGTGTATACTTAGTTTCAGGTACGCCGAGTCCAAACGCGGCTGTAGGTATACGACTCGATGGGGTCAATCTAGCGGCACGTAAAGTACCTCGTTACAGAGCTCGTTTTCCCTTTGGGTTTGGCATCACCCGTCTAAACCATTCGAACGTAGAAAAAAAAAGCCCAGGATCACAGCACATGGAATGTGCTTAAATAATTTATACGGCGATAGCGAACGCACTGAGGAGACGAGGGCCGTTAGTATATGCAATTTTTGGCGCCGCTTGGTTGATTCTATCGGCTCTAGCGTTCGGGGGAATGTCGGACTTCAGAGTGGAACGGAGAAAAAATGTTAAGTGAAAGCTTACGTCAGAGAAGGTCGTGAGCAGGGTCTTCTTGGAGTTCCTGTGGTACGGAAGGGAAGACCACGACTGCGCAGAGTGCCGATCCGACGGCGCCCGCTTGAGCGAGCGCAGGTTGGAGAGGAGCCTGTTGAGCTGCTGCTTGAAGAGCCGCGTCGTGAGCGTGTACAGCACCGGGTTCAGCGCCGAGTTGACCGGCAGCAGAAATACCGCCACCCAAGCGTACAGCGTTTCGTCTATTTTCGTTCCTGGAATAACAAAAACAAATATTCATTTGAATACAGGATTATAAACTATTAGGAAGTTTAAAACGACAATCTCTTAGAGGTAAAGCAAAATCGATGCAGAAACCTGTAAAGTGAACTGAAGATGAGAGGAAGTCAATAATGGTTCCCAACACGAAGGCGGATACATGTATGGATGAAATCATTCTCGTACATAATTTGGGCACTACCTTCATCCACTGATATTGGTTACACTTCCTGACATAAAACGAGCCGTAGAACAAGTGTATAACGATCTCTTTTTATGGGTATCTCAAAGGCCTCAAGGCGGAAGGCTCGTATGGATTTGGCAAATCAGCTCGCGATGCCGACTATGAGCGTTCCCTTAAGCATGTGCGAAATCACTTATTTTATAAAGGCCTTAGTTTTGAACAACTTTGAAACAAAACCAAAAAAAGAGAAAAGGAGTATCGAACACATTCATACAACTGAATTATTGTTAGAATAAAAGATAAGGTCCTACGCTTTTAACCGACAGCTGGCACGTCCCAGGGCAGAATGAAGTAGTCGTTTAGTCCACCTATGTTACTCTTAACATACACCCGTCAGCTTGACTAAGAGGCACCTTAATATTAATTTACATTTTTCAGTAGCGTTATTTAACGGAGTTTTATCAGTTTTAGCAACTGTGACCCGAGATCATTCATTGAATTGTGGTACGGTCCTCTAGTAGACTCTTTCTGCCTTTTTGTAAATTTATGTAAGCAGTATTCCGTTGATGAAGTACGCTATTCTGTACACGAAATTTGTGAAGTTAGACACATTACTGTAGCTAAAAAGAGTTTCTCTCAAGAACTGCAGCAGCTTGAAAAATAGCTTTCAAACTTATTTTCACTTAGGGCGTTTCAACATAGCGAAAATGTGCGCCGTCATTAGCAACACTTCTTCACATTCATTCTTGATAAACACTGTAGTATATATATATATATATATATGTGTGTTTTTTTGTTTTCACACTAAACATATTTAGGAGTTTCGCCGACTTTCTCGGGTCCAGGAGCCTTTTTTTATTTTTTCGCGAGGTAAGAGGGATACAGAAATGTCCGACTATCCAAGGTTAAATATTTCTCTTTATTTCTCTCCAAACGGAGAGAAACAAAGAGTTTGAGCTTGAGTTTGAAATAAATGTTTTCTTCTTGTATTAACCTTCTGTTAGCTTGATAAAACCCTTTGTCTCTCTGAAGTCACTACTTAAAGTCCGTGAAGTAAGGTAAGTGAATATATTTATGCAGAAGAGTATACAGGGTGCTCCTTTATTTCGAGTAATCGAAATTTGAAACAAACACAACTTGCGTTCGGCTATTTTAGCCTTGAGACTAAGTACAGGGCCATGGGGGCCAATACAAATGAGGCGAAATGAGGTGTCTAACTAGTCAGCAAATTAACTTGCTAAGCTTTCGTGTTTTTTTGTGCGTTTTTTTTAGGCAACGCGGTTTGAGATTAGGCTTTCCACTTTATTGTAATCTAGACGTGACGCGCAATTTAGGTTCAGTAATTCGTAGCCGGAGCTAGGGGGCAAGAAATGGCAGCCTGGGCCCGTTTGCTCGAAGCACTAACCGCGGCTAAAGTTAGCCGCAGTACCTAGGAGGGGGATTTTGAGATCGCGTGACTGGCTCGGTAGGGATGCGGGGAAACATGGCGGTGCCCTAGTGAGTGAGCGCCGCTCGCTTTGGAACTAATATGTCGTTGTGGTTGATATCGGGCGCGTTAGTCAGCAACGAATGGTGCAGGGCGCTTTCGCTTTGCTTTACGTCACTTAAACCGCAAAGCATGGGCAATGAAATCGCCGCATTTTTCAGATAGTGTTTCGATTCTGGGCACTCCTAAGCCTAAATTAACGCGATAATTGTCGGCATAGCAACGTCTTTGGAAAGCGGATTGTTGATAGCACACAAAAGCAGACGGCGTCCCAACAGACCTTTTCTCTAAATTATCCTAGCACCGAGGTGCATGCTACGACTTTAGTTGCACGCGTCGCACGTGCTGGTGTCTGCAGTAGTAACCATTCTAAAGCAAAAAGTATAAGACAAATTTTGCCTTGCACGCGCGTTCGTTAAAGCCTTATTATGATTTTTTACTTCAAATCTTTTATAAGAGGAAGGCCAGCGCGCGTGAGCCGTAGAATTACACTTCCAGCGTTCTCCTCGCGATGCTTGGATAATTTCGAGAAACGTCTGTCGGGACGCTGTCTGCTTTTGTGTGCTATCAACAATCCGCTTTCCAAAGACGTTGTCATGCAGAAAATTATCGCGTTCATTTAGGCTTAGAAATGCCCAGAATCGAAACATTATCTAAAAAATGCAGCGATGTCATTGCCCATGCTTTGCGGTTTAAGTGAGGTAAGGCAAAGCGAAAGCCTCCTGCACCATTCGTTGCTGACTAACGCGCCCGATATTGCAACCACAACGACATATTATTTCCAAAGCGAGCGGCGCTCACTCACTGGGGCAACGCCATGTTTCCCCGCATCCCTACCGAGCCAGTCACGTGATGTCAAAATCCCCCTCCTAGGTACTGCGGCTAACTTTAGCCGCGGTTAGTGCTTCGAGCAAACGGGCCCTGGTTACGGCATCGAACTGAAACCGAGCCGTCAAAGCGCGTCCGTGCACCACCAGCAAGAATAATCGAAGCCTGTGTAACTGAAATTCGCACGTCATCACATTGAGATCGAAAGATGCTGCGGATTGGATACGAGTGCCGCGTGAGTGCTCGGCTGGGCTTCGTGCCCAATGAACGCATCGAAGGACACTCGGAATCGGGCTCGGGGCTAATCGCTGAGTTGGCGCAATCCGAGTGTGTTGACGCTCCATAGAGGAAGACTGGGGCGTTCGGAGGCCTTTCCCAGGCAGCACACAGTATTGCGCCAATATTGGCATTGGATCTGAGAAATAGGGCCAAAATCATTCGGATACTGCCGACATTGGCGCTTGGCCGTAAAGATCGGGCAAGTATTGCCGTAATGTGGCCGATGTCGGCGGAACATCATTTGGGTCGGCCAACGCCACGCTGATATACAGTATCCGGCGCCGTTTTCCGGTAATTTGTCGGGTCTGAACCGGCTATATCGGCCGGTATTAGCAATTTTTTACCGTTTCTAAAACGATACTGAATCACGGTTAAATGGTAAATTCCGCCGGCCAATCGCGACGGCCGCAGCTGTTGCCACGGGCCGCGCCGAGGGCGCGCCGGAAAATCAGTGGTTGGAACTGGGTTTTTCCGTACAAATAAACGAAAAAAAAAAACTATTTTTGAAGTAACTTTTATTGGTGATTAGTACAAAACGGAGGACACGTAATGTTTTCTAATATCTTTAGTTTACAAGGTTTGCGGCAGAACTAATATTGTTTTTATACAACCATGTCTCAGCGGTGATTTCAGGTAGCGCATCCCTGTCTATATAGGCGCATCCTAATTTTGGCAGTAATTCGCGGCGCGTCCGCTTGGGAGGCGGGGGTGGCACCCTTGAAGCCCCTTCCACGGTATCTGTTTCGGAGCCAAAATGGCCGATTAAAGCCAAAATAGAAGTCACCTGCAGTTCTTCCAGTGGCCGGTGCGGGTGAAATTTCGGCGTTGCGATCGCTATTAGCTCGGTTCTCGAGTACGGATCAGTGCCACTTTTCCAGATTAAGCTCTATGGCAGTTGCCCAACTGATCGGTTAATTCTATACTAACGTTGGGTTGGTCCAGGACCGCTGACACCGCAGCGGCCGCGGCCATGTTAATCGATATTCGTCCATCTCTGCCCAGAACTCGAATGATATCGCCAAGTCTGGCCCATAACTAGAACGATCGTTAACCGATATTGGCCCAATACTTGGCCGTGGTAAGACACTTGAAACTCGGCCAATATTGTGAGCAATATTGCCCCGACGCTGGCCCAGTGCCGGCGTGCTGCCTGGGTTATTATTCTTGACGGTTGTTTGGTTAAGTGTAGGATCCACAAACCACGTGTCCGCTCCGCTGGTGACGCAAGCAGTGCGTCGTCGGCACAGAGCGAAGGTACCCGCGACACGGGGACGTTTTCTCCGCTTCCGCCCTGGTTTTTGAAGCCGTGCTCAAGGGTGTCCTCTCTCGCCCCGTAACGCACACCACTAATTGTTCTGGTAAACGTTTTATGTCATGGCTTGACTTACTGAGGTCGAGAGTAAATTTCCAAACCGCAATATAATTTCAAGAATCGAAATAAAGAATGTACTGAACATTTTGTTAGCTACCTACTAATCAAGGAATTACCGCTTTCTAATGGCCCCTTTACCCCTTATTAGCTTCTGGAAAAAAAATTCTACCGAACGTACACACTTCCTCTTTTTTTAAGTTTTGGTTCTATTGAAGAGACACACGGTGTATATGTGTATTCAGCACACAAGTTTGCCAACGCTGTGATACTTTCTTCGTAAATATTTTTTTTTTGTTATTCTATTCTCTTTTCTCTTTCAACACTTATATCGACATTAATATGTGGCAAAAAATGCACATTCTATGCGTAAGATTGAAAGCCATACCTGCAATTGCCACAATCTTGATGACTACAATGGGCATCCAGCAGAGAAAGTCGGTGCCGACAATGAAGAAAAACCTCTTTGCAATTGCGCGGTCTTGCAGCTGCTGCGTCGACCGCAGCCCAATCTTCGAGTGGGTGATTGTGAAGAACATGGTCAGGTAGGCGTAGGTGATGAAGCTAAATGCGATGCTATTTACTGTGCAGAACAGGAACGCCGAGTATTCCCAGCCTGCAGGAGGAATGGCATATTTCAGTAATTCATTCAGGCTCGCCGCCAAATACAAAGGTAACAATACGCGAATAATATACCTGTTAAAAATCCCTCAACTGAGACGCCGCGCTGAGAAGAGCAATGTTTCTAATCACACTTTCATATGGTGAAACATTTATATTTACCATGCAAAATAATTAGGTTGCGAAATGTTCGCCGGTAAATCAAGTTACACTGAACATGCCGGGCATAAGGAACAGTGTCGGGATGTGTTTAGTACGTCGTAGGAGATGTAACCTGCCTTCGAAGGATAATCGGCACAATACGAAAAAAAAAGATTAGAAAAGATATACTATAATTATTTGAAGAAAAAAAAAATCAACAGTTGTAACTTAAGAGAAGTTGAATATTGCGTACTTGAGTATTTAAATTGTCATTTTAGCGTGAATCGTTTTATAGTTAAACATGTAGGAGTGTGTAATCAAAAATTAGCAAAGAATAACTGGTATTCTTTGCTAATTCTCATAGTTAAAGCGATGATTATAACTTATCGCGAATCTAGACAATGCAAACCAAATTTATTTTGAAAAAACAACAAATTACAAGTAACTTGGAACCTATGAGAGAAAGATCAGCGGACTCTAGTTTTTCTCAGTCTGCTGCAATGCTCTCAGCACTCTAAATGTATGCCGCCAGGTATCTCATGTTACGCCCGTGTAGATCACCTTATATAAGTATGTGAACAAGAAGCTTAACTTCACTTGCATTTCTGCAACCGAAAACGGCATAATCGATAAGTGCATGACAATTTGTGACCCACTAGGTTCATACCAATTGCACCGTGAAAATCATGAATGCCTTCGATAAGTTCCAATTCCGCCTTAAACTAAATACAGTTTCCATGATTATGGTTTACGTCTGCAAGCAATTGTACCATCTCAATTGCTCTCAAAATTGCTTCTAAGAGAGATAATAATAACGAATTCGAACAAATAAATCGCTTCTACATGTCGGTTTATGAACTGATGCGAAGACGTTGACTACGAGTGCGAAACTCTACCTAAAGTGAGCATAAAAGAGGATTACCTCTGGAACCCGGGTCGTGAATATGCAGCGGGAGGCAGACACCGTTGCTGCCGTAAAAATCCTTGCCATAGTAGTCAGGCCAGAAAATTGGCACGGCGGCCATCAGCAAAGTAACAGTCCAGATTAGGGTCATGCACCACCAGGCGAACTTGAGCGTCCTACGCTTGAGCGAGAGCGGATACATGATGGATACGAATCTGTCCACTGTAATGACTGTCAGGGTGAAGACGGACGCTTCACTGCTCACTGTAGAGAGAACGCCCGATGCACTGCAGCCCCAGGAGTGGCGCCATTGGTAGTCGTGTCGGATGTACTCTCCCCTGAAGCGGACATCGTGCGAAGCGATCACAATGAGGTAGACTCCCATCAGGAGGTCGGCGAGCGCCAAATTCTTGATGTAAAAGGAGTGAACATCGTTCTGTTCTCGAAGCACCATCCGCCCCACAAGGACCAGCACGTTCCCGAGGCAGGCTACCAGAGCCACCACCCAGACGGACACCCTCAGGACCACGTTGTCGAGGAGGTGCGCCAGAGAACTGATGCCATCGCCACGAGGCTCACACACGCGGACGTGGAGCGCCGAAGAGCACATGCTGAATTCGCTGAAGTAGCTGGAAAAATGACGATGTATTTTTAGGCAAGTCGCGGACATCTTAAGAAGTTTTTCTTTTTTTTTTCACAAAAAATGCAAGTTATAAAAGCTGTGCTTTCACATATGTTTGTGTTCATTAGCGGCTGTGCTTCCATACTGTGCAATTTAACAAAGTCATATATCTGCGTGAAGAAGGACGTATTTCAGCTCACCTCGTCGTAGTTACACGTTAAAGCATCTTTGAGATTGTCAGTTTTTTCAGAAGTGCCAATATTTAACTGTCAAATTTACACTCATTTAATTAGTTAATTATTGCAGCAACCTCATTATCGTATACCAATTTCAATGTTATTCTTTTCAGAAACACATCGGAATGTCTTAAATCAAGCATATATTTTTTAATCATTGACACAAGACAGTATTACGCGAGCTCACCTTTAGCAGTACATGCAAGGCAACGAAGCTGCCTGGGCGCCAAGAAGCTGAAGCAGAGGAGGAGACGAGAGGGGACGTCAGAATGACGAGCTCTGATTGGTAGGATTAGTGGGTAGACCTAAAGCTAGCTGCCTTTGCCTCCACTGCAGTCGTGGAACGTGTTCGAATACAAAAGCCAGGCGCCGGGCGCCGGCGTTCCGCGTTCTAACGCGTTGGACGAGCGCAATGGAGTCAAAGGTAGCTACCTTTTGGTCTACCCACTCATCTCTCCAACCAGAGCTCTGCGTTCTGACGTCCCCTAGCGCACTGTCGTCTCATTCTCTTCCTGAGAGTCTCGGCGCTTTACAAAGTTCGGTTGTGATCGTTGACGACGATTTCACTTATAATTATTTTCTCAAAAGCTTTGAATCGTGATATCTTTTTCCAATATTTTCTGCGTTGCTTGAACGTTATGTTTTCACTTCGTGAAATCCTAGATAAAGTTTTAAACTCCTTACATTACACAGATCAGTGCTAGTAATGTTAATATCCTGAACCAGTTTCTTTATCGTTATATAATCAGGTGCACCGAGTTTTCTGCTTCATATTCTCGATTGTCCAATACCGTGGTGTTTATCAATCACGTATCTTCACCTTATAAATATAAATTCAGCCTCTTGCGATATATGAATGCCTGAGCGAAGCGGTTATCTTAAATATCTTTTATAAAAAAAAATTGTTCGCTAATAAAATAAAAATAATATTTTTTTCGCTTTTAATGTCCTGAAAGTAAGGAGCTCGGATTATGATAAATTAATTTGTTTAAAAGATTAACCTTTATACCAGGGGTGGCCAAACCGCGGCTCGCGAGCCGCATGCGGCTCTTTGCTGGTAACGGTGCGGCTCGCGGATCCCTCGTAAGAGCACCCCCCCCCCTCCCCCCCCCCCCCCTCGCCCCTTTCTGCGTTTCCCCAGGAAAGAAGAAAAGGATTTCAGAATAAAGACCTGCTTGCAGTTTGACAGCCTTGTGCCCCATACGTACAGTCGAACCGCTTTTCACTCGCATGTTTCAACAGATCCTGTTTCTTTCATTGTTCGAGAGAGTTTGCCGGACCCTATGCTCTGTTTCATGCTTAGAGTGCAACGCTGTCAAAGCTACTGGCACGAGCGCCTGGCTTCATCTATGGTTTTGTTTGCACGAGAACGCGTGCAAATTATCAATGAGATCAAGCCCCATACTCGCCCCAGTAGCGTTGACAGCATTGCACACTAAGTATGAAACAGAGTATAGGGGGAAAGGCATCAAGGACAGGGATTCTCAAAACATGCATGCACTTTGGCTTCGGGTCGAGGAAATGTTCTGTCTTGCGGCCTTTGGCACTCGCCGGTGATACTAGTCCCATTTAGGTAACGGATGTTCCCTCCATATCGTCTCTTGTTGGCGGTCGCGAAAGCCCGGGTTTACCTCATTCATAGCTTCCACTAGTCGCAGACATTATGTTCAAGTTCACAAAAGACCAGGAACATTCTCATTGCTATTTTTACTGGCTTGCATTTGCGACCCGCAAGCTGCTTTTTTATGCTTTGGGGGTAGGGGGGCTAATTAGGTAGCAGTTTTTGTTCCCCCCCCCCCCCCCTTTTCGCCGGCTCTTAGAAGTTTCCTGGTTTCCTTTGCGGCTTTTAGGCCGGGTCAGCCTGGCCACCCCTGCTTTATACAATCAGGATTCCACTGGTCACACCGAAAACAGCCTCAGAAGCCACTGTTACACTACTCTCCTGATAATCGGCTGTTATAAATAATTTACTAGTTAATATTGCTTTAATACTGTCTGCAGCTCGTGCTCAGTACAAACGTATGAACTTACAGGTGTGTTATGTTTGGGAGTGGCTCGAATAAGGCGGCTGAGCACGTTTGGAAGGCGTTTTTTCGAAGATTTCTGAAAATAGAAACAAGCAGACGTAAACCAGAGTTGCAATTCAGAAATGTCGCAATATATATACATTTTCATGATTCACCTTCAATGCGCTGTTATATTAGAGCGCAGCTCTTAGACGCCCATTTTCGCACTGAGCGGAGTTGGCGTAACCGCGAGCGCTGCATTACCGGATAACACAGTTTTTCCACTAAATTTAGAGGAAAAACTAAATTGGTGATGAGGCCACGTGACGCCAATTTCCCCGCTAAATCTAGCGGAGAAACTGAATTTCTTCATAGGTAACGTGACACGAAGTAATGGGACGTTATTTTCCCCGATAAATTTAGCAGGGAAGCTGTGGAAGGAGGGGAGGGTTCGGAGAGGGATGGGAGGGTTCGCAAGAAGAGGAGGGGAGGGTACGGAGGAGGAGGAGAGGGTACGGAACAGGAGGAGGGGAGGATAGGGATGAGGAGGGTACGAAGAGGGAAGAGGACACTGAAGAGGAGAAGGGTGCAGAACCAGTACGTGAGGAGAGTTATCTCTATTTTGTGGGCAACCTGGCGATTCCAAGCGGTTGGCCCAGGCTGCCCCTCCGACAATCATAAGTGGTCATCTTGACCACGAGGGGGCCAAGGGCAACTGGCCACGCGAGCGGCGCTCCGCCGCTGATAAAAGGCCGTCGCAGCGGATGCGCGTGGGGGTTGGGATCGCGGCGCAGGCGATAGCGGTCATTAAATGTTTACGTGTTGTTGAACTGGTGTGCTGTGTCATTCTCCGAGACGGGTAGCAGCAAGGGAAATCCCACACTGGCGCCCAGACGTGATATGCTGCTCGTCTGGGAGGATGACAGCAAACTGGGTTCGTTCTTACGTTTTACATAGTCAATTTTGCGTTCCTGAGTTTACCCAAAGTTGAGGGGGCGTTTCTTCGCAAGCCCACGTTCATCGACCTGCGCAAGTCTCCACTACAACACGATGCCGTCTACAGAGGACGCCGACAGAAACGTGAGTGAGGACGACCTTTTGACGCTCGGTGCACTCGCGGATAACGCCACCAGTGACATAAAACCAGACGCTAAGCCTGCAGTCTCAGTCCCGGTAGACGCATCATTAGAGGGTGGTCTAGCAGAACTAAGAGTGGCCATGACCATGCTTCTTAACATACAACGAGAGCAGATGATGCGCTCAAGACCCACTCCTGCTGGAAGTACGCCCCCCAGGGACTTCCTAAGGCTCTCGCTTAGCGTTCCGGTTTTTTCGGGGTACGCAGATAGAAAGTCAGTTGCGATGTTCGTCTCGGAACTGCGGGACTACCAAGCTGCGTCGGGAATTGACGACGAAACCGTCCTCACCCGCCTTTTGCCGGTTGCACTGACAGACAGTGCAGCACTGTGGAGGCAAAGACAAACTAAATTCACAAGTATGTCAGATTTTGAGGCACGATTTAGGACGGAGTTCCTGCCTCCGGACTACAGCGTGCGGATTAAGGACGAGCTGCGCGCGCGCACACAGCACCCGGAAGAGTCACTTATTGAGTTTGTAAGGGCTCTCCAGGGCCTGTACGATATCGCCGACGCCGCGGCACCGGACGCGGAGAAAGTACAACGCGCCATCCGCCAAAGCCACCCGCGTTTCCATCCCCATCTCAGGGGACGTACCTTTACGAATTTAGACGAGATGGCACGGGGGGCGATCACTATCCAGGCCGACATCCTCGCGGAACTAAGATACCGACCCCCTCCACCGCAGAACATGACTCTGGAACCATCATTTGCGTGGTCTGGAAACGCACGTGCACATAGAGTCGAGAGAGAACAAGACGATTCCAATCAGGCGCCCGTCCCCCGAACCCCAGATTCTTGTGCATACGAATCACGAACCCTAGACCCTCGTGCATACGAATCACGGAGGTGCAGCGGTTACGAAGGCACGCAATCACAACGCTACAGCCCCTCCATTGGTCAAGATGAGTTCTTGTCCTCTGGACCGGTAACGCGGAGCTTGGGAGAGGCAGAAGAGAGCGGGACACCGCACGAAGCCGACGGGCGGGTCACGCCCCGTTGTTTTCGATGCGACCAGCCAGGACACATACACCGGGACTGCAGCGAACGGCAGCGGCCGCCTCAGACACAGGGAAACGGCTACGGCCGGCGGTGGTAAGAAATTTCTACTCTCCGCCGGCCGCGTCAAAAACACAATCCACGAGATCGAGTCGCCGCAGCCGCCTCCGGGCCTCCCGGAGGCTCACACGGGCTCCGGGGACTGACGCTTTTCTATCGACCCTCGGTGGCCCTCCATCACTTTTTCTTCCTCATAACACTCCTCGTTGTGAGACTCCCGGCGTGTCCGATTTTCCATGGACACCCGGGCGCCCAGCTCACACCGTTCGCGGTGTTGAGACTCCCGGCGTGTCTGCTCGTGCATCGACAACCGGGCGGCCAGCTCACAACACTTTCCGTCATGAGACTCCCGGCATGTCCGCGTTCGCGTCGACAACTGGGCGCCCAGCTCACACCGTTCGCGGTCTTGAGACTCCCGGCGTGTCTGCTCTCGCATCGACAACCGGGCGGCCAGCTCATAACACTTTCACTCTTCGTCGTGAGACTCCCGGCGTGTCGGCTTTCACACCGACACCCGGGCGCCCAGCTCACACCGTTCGCGGTCTTGAGACTCCCGGCGTGCCTGCTGTTGCAGTGACACCCGGGCGGCCAGCTCACAACACTCTCCGTCATGAGACTCCCGGCGTGTCGGCTTTCACACCGACACCCGGGCGCCCAGCTCACACCGTTCGCGGTCTTGAGACTCCCGGCGTGTCTACTTTTGCACAGACACCCGGGCGGCTAGCTCATAACACTCTTCGCCGTGAGACTCCCGGCGTGTCGGCTTTCACACCGACACCCGGGCGCCCAGCTCACACCGTTCGCGGTCTTGAGACTCCCGGCGTGCCTGCTGTTGCAGTGACACCCGGGCGGCCAGCTCACAACACTCTCGGTCATGAGACTCCCGGCGTGTCGGCTTTCACACCGACACCCGGGCGCCCAGCTCACACCGTTCGCGGTCTTGAGACTCCCGGCGTGTCTACTTTTGCACAGACACCCGGGCGGCTAGCTCATAACACTCTTCGCCGTGAGACTCCCGGCGTGTCGGCTTTCACACCGACACCCGGGCGCCCAGCTCACACCGTTCGCGGTCTTGAGACTCCCGGCGTGCCTGCTGTTGCAGTGACACCCGGGCGGCCAGCTCACAACACTCTCCGTCATGAGACTCCCGGCGTGTCGGCTTTCACACCGACACCCGGGCGCCCAGCTCACGCCGTTCGCGGTCTTGAGACTCCCGGCGTGTCTCCTTTTGCACAGACACCCGGGCGGCTAGCTCATAACACTCTTCGCCGTGAGACTCCCGGCGTGTCGGCTTTCACACCGAGACCCGGGCGCCCAGCTCACACCGTTCGCGGTCTTGAGACTCCCGGCGTGCCTGCTGTTGCAGTGACACCCGGGCGGCCAGCTCACAATACTCCCCGTCATGAGACTCCCGGCGTGCCGGCTTTCACACCGACACCCGAGCGCCCAGCTCACACCGTTCATGGTCTTGAGACTCCCGGCGTGCCTGCTGTTGCAGTGACACCCGGGCGGCCAGCTAACAACATTCTCGGTCATGAGACTCCCGGCGCGTCTGCCTTTGCACTGATCCCCGGGCGAACAGCTTCCACTGTTCCCGGTCCTACGCTACCCGAAGCAACTGCATTTGAGTTGGACCCTAATGCGATTCCCTTTCAGCCAAAGGCCGGCCCGATCCCCAGCGTCAGAGCCGCTTTGAAGTTCTCAACACCAAGGATGGTCGCTCTGGATGGCCGGCCGCTAATGGACTCGCACCAGTCGACGGAGGTAGGAACAACCTCACTAAACGAGGAACCGACAGTGCTCATCCCAGCTGTGAGTAGAATCGAATCTACACCCAAGTCTCTTGAACCTCGTATGACTGTGAATGTACTAGGTGTACCAGTAGCCGCTCTTTTAGATACTGGAGCAAACATATCGCTTATTGGGGATGCTGTATTTGCGGAATGTAACAAGAGAAAGATACATCTTCGGTCAGCAAACGTGAAATTGCAAGTAGCATCGGGGTCCGTACTGCCTGCTGCCGGCGCAGTCAGGTTACGAATTTCCTTTCATGGTAGAAAACGAAGACAACGGTTCGTATACCTCCCAGAACTGCCGGTGCCCATGATCCTCGGTAGAGATTTTATTGCAGCGGAGCGGGTTTTGCTCGACTTTGCCCAGGCTGGATATTGGTTGGGTGGCGAAATGAAATTAACGCCGTTTACCAGACGGCAAGATTGTATTCGCGGCCAAGCGTTCCCGTTAAACTTTGCCGGGCAGATGCCTTTACTTCCAGACAGCGTGCTCAAAGCCGTGCAAAAGTGTTCCGGTGAAGACAAACAGAAGCAGCTCCAGAAACTGCTGGAACCCTTCTCGCCGATGTTCACGGAAAGACCTGGGAAAACCGATCTCCTACAGCACCGCATCGAAACCAAGGATGCACCTCCCCGGAGGTGCAATCCGAGACCCATAAGTGCTCACAAGCGCGAACTTCTTGATGCGGCGCTGTCGGAAATGATCGACACAGGCGCAGTACGTCAGTCAAAAAGCCCGTGGGCTTCCCCGGTAGTCCTTGCTCCAAAGAAGGACGGCACAGCAAGGCTTTGTGTTGATTACAGGCGCCTAAATGAAGTGTCAGTCAGAGACAGTTACCCGTTTCCTAGTATTTCCTCAGTAATGTATGCCCTTGGAAACGCGACTGTTTTCACAACCCTCGATTGCAGCCGCGGATTTCTTCAAATCGAAGTTCATCCGGCTGATGTAAAGAAGACCGCATTCATTTGCCATAGGGGGTTGTTCGAATTCACTCGCCTTCCCTTTGGTTTGTCCAACTCTCCCGCCAGCTTTCAACGCCTAATGGACGTTGTCCTCGGTGACGCGAAGTACGAGTTTGCGATGGCGTACATGGATGACGTAGTGGTCT